CATTTCTAAATGTAGATTGCAAAGTATAAATAACTAGTGATGTTCTCTCTCGTGAACTGTGGCAGAGGGGTGTGTATCTGGAATGCTCTGTGTATTAACAACTTACTCAAATAGCTCGGCAAGAACATGTACAGTGATACTCAAATTCATGCATACAAATGTATCTTTGTGAAAATGGGTAGAAAATGTATCTTTGTGAAATGGGTAGAAAAAGTGCCATCAAATCTGGCAGTTTGCACAGCTGTCATTGTTTCTAGTAGGTAAATGTGAAGAAAATAAGGTTTTATAATTTCCTATGTCTTACTATAAAATTAGAAAAAAAAGTACCCAGAGATGAGGAATCGTTGCGTTGTTCTTTGTCTTTAGGGAACACCACATTGTATTTTTTAAGTTCACATATTGAACACTTTACATTATTCTGCCTTGAGGTACCTAACCCTTACCACATAAATTAACTATAGTTAATTCTTTCTTGAAGAAGAAAGAATTTTTTTCTTAAAATAACCTAATGAATATGATACTATATCAGATCATACAAATATCTCATAGCAGATATGTTAGAAATCAGAGATAGAAAAGCATATAAAAAGTTGCCATTAGACCACGCAGTGGTGGAATGGGACTACAGCATTGTGTAAAGGATGAATTCTGAATTTAGCAAGTGACAAGCATGTTGGTCCACAACAAATGAGACTTTGGCCCAAAGCTGACCCCCTGAAAAACTATAAACAGAAACTACAGTTCTGTAGCACTTTGCTAACATGAAAACCATATTTTCCAGTTGAACAATGACGACACTGAACTACACATTCTCCAAAATCTACTGCAACTCTGAGTCAGCAAACCTTCAAGAAGCCCTTTAAGAATATTGGAAGTGAAACAATGTGTTTTAAGATCAACTTAAAAAATCAAATGCTATGTGTAGAATAGTACCCTGGAAGGATATATGATTTTACTTTTTATACAAGAAAAAGAATTTGTGTAACATACTGCATTTTACTTTATATGATGTTCTAAGTACCTATGTCTAAAAACTAATGATGATGATAATAATGTCTAGATGTCAAATATTATTACCATTATGGAAAATGACCATTTATTTTTACTCTGATATTCACAGTACAAACTAGAACACACATATCTTTATTTTACTAAGGGTCCTTCTGACTATTTTCCCACTAGGTTTGTGGTTGGAAAGTTTAACGTGTAGATACAACACTCTGACACATCTATTATGTCTGTACACAAAAGGAACAGTGAAAAAGACCCAAGGTTTTCAAAGGTCCCTTAAATGTGAAACTGTAACTTACATCAAAAATTAGTTGGATGTCAGTAGTTACAAAGGGGGAGGATACGTATCTTAGTATTCAAGTGTGTGCTACAGTGATATCTGATTCCTGAATCAAACTTGCATGTATCTGATTGCTCATTCCTGATATGGTACAGAAAATCCCAGGGCCTCCCTACTATGACTAGAAGGTTCATCTGTCATCGGGGCGGCTGCCTCCAAGTGCAAGTTTATCACAAGGCAGTCCCTGAAAATAGAACTTCTGCTGGAAGGGCCTGAACCGGGAGACACCCAGCTCCAAAATTCCACAGCTCTTCAGGGAGATAGAAACTGAGCCAGAGAGGGCTGGGAACACCCTTGGCCTGCTCCACTTGTGGTCTCAATAAATATAGAGCTGAGCCACCAGTGCAATGAGACAAATTTTTGGTAGGACAAGATAATAAAGGGAAGGAGAAAGAAAGAACGAGGAAGAGAGGAGGAGGGAGGGAGGGAGAAGATGGAGGAAAGAGGAAGAAGATCATTTTGGTGAAAGACTGTTAAAAACTGTTTTCATAGCTACGTATCCAAGTTTTGTAACCTTGAGAGACCAATCCACTGTGATCATTTTCTTTTAACAAGATCTGACTTGAGTGTAAGCTGCAGTACAGGGACCAGAAAAGGTCACTCTATGACATAGAGGGAAGACTACACTGTGGGTTCAAACCACAATGAGTTAGCAAGTTTCTAGCCCAAACTATGAACGGAAACCCTCCAGTCCTGCAGCACACTGCTAAAATGAAAAATTGTTTTTAGATGTTACTTCCTGCTTCCTTCCTGTTGAAATGGATCCAAGCAGCCATACCTGATCTCTTCCCCTCTTGCCTTCTGTCCAGCATGCTCCCCGCATACCTGCTTGCGGTCTACAAAGGAGTGGCCTGCAGGAGGGGCACTTCAGAGCTGGACCATCACTGAAGCTTACTTATTCATCCTTCGGCCCATACTTTATTGCTGTTTGACATTTGATATGTGCTGGGCCCAGATTATGCAGACTGGGCATACACTGAAAGTTCAAGAAAGTTAGCCACCTCTTTTTCGCTTTCTCCCTTTCCCAGTGAACTTATGGTTTAATGGACTCCGTAATGTGTGGCTCTAAACGGAGATGAATGTAGGGTTCTGCTATCAGTCCTAATCAAGATTTAGGACTCTTGCTATCCTGATCTGTGTTTTCCCTACAACAAGCCAATAAATGGAATGCTTGGGGTTTGGGGAGCTCAGTAAGTTTCTGGAGCTGGGGCTGGTCACAGTGGGTGAAGATGAGGTAGAATTATGCCTGTGGGGTTGCATACACACAGAGGACCACTTCTAGCTATTATTTCTTTTTCACTAAGAGTTGTTTTGCCAGAAAAGCCATTCAGTTTGACGTGAAACCAGCCACTTGACTTTGGTGATAAAGCAAAAGGCCTGCTTCCCTGCTCTCAGCAGCCCCATCCCTGTGAGTCACTGCTGCCTGAACAGAATCTCAGCAGGCTGGACCTGGCTGCCATGAGGCAGTGACAACCTTTCCTCTGTGCCCTTAAAAATGCTGTGTCCACCCAAACAAATGATTGTTATAGAGTTTGGGGGGAAAAAAAAGAAAGAAAATGGACTACAAAAAGTTCCAAAAACCTTAATGCTGTATCCTGTATCTATAAATTGACAACATACTGACTTCAACAAATTTGGGAGCCTAAAGTTTGCTCAAATTTTCAGAGCCCTGAAGTCTGTGATCCAAGAATTAAAAGACACGGATGAGAAGAAAGTTTCCTGATTCCCCGTGTGTGTGTGTGTGTGTGTGTGTGTGTGTGTGTGTCTGTGCGCGTGTGTGTCTATGTGCAAACGTGTGTGGACACTGAGATGCATGCTTCAGGTTCAGTGTGTCAGTTCTCACTGCCCCCACCTCGCCGATCTCGTCCCTTGTGGTGCAGTACTCCAGGCTGCGGGACAGGCCCTGCTCACACTCCTGGACTTTGCCACGCCAGGTCAAAATGTCCTCCTCGAGGCTCTCCAGCTGCAGCTGCAGGTTCTTTGCAGAAACATTAAAGCAATTCTAAAAATAAAAGACATTTGGAAATAACAAAAGGAGCAGATGAAACTTCCAGGAGACGAATATGCTACTTACCTGCATTATGAAATTCACAAATGACACTTTAAAAAAGATATAGGAACCTAATTTATTTTACCCTAAACACATTTGAATATAATTATTTCGGAAAGAAGCCAGACACCCAACATGATGGGAAAGACACATCCAGTCTCGAATCTCTAGTTTTGAAGATATGCTCATCACACCCAACTCCTCAGAGACACCATTCATTATAAGGTATAATTTTTACTCCAAAAGGCATAAAATATTCATCAGAAACATTCTGCTTCTGCACTATAATTTTCCTGTCAACTTGAGTTTAACCTCAGGTTCATTATGCAAGTGCTGCAGTCTCTACCTAGCAAAGAGGTGGTACTTGGGCCAAGACCTGAAGAGGGTTAGAAAACAATTTACATTATTTGTGCAAAGTGAGATATCTTGCTTTCTTTTCTCTTTTTAAAGTAAATTTACTGATAAGATAAAACCTCTTTTAAAAACAAAACTGTTTCCTGACAAAAGAAACAAATTCTTGTACTTCTTTCCGTTTTAAAAAATATATAGTTTGGGTTCATTGTATTACATGTAGCTTCTTAAATAAATTTTAAAATAAAATTGGTCCCTATATTTTTATTAATGTAATATATATAAATGGAATAAACAAAAGCCTTTACATTTTCAAATTGGGAATTTGAGGGTTTTTTTTTTAATCAAAACCCAGAGTATTATTTATGAACATTTGGTGTGGAAATGCTTCCTTTCCCTTTAGAATCTTCTGTTGAAATCTGTCCAGTGACATAAAGCAGATCCCAGATTCTTGGCTGGAGGAAGAAGGCTTAGGCAACTTCATTCCCTTCTTTTTTGGATAAGGTAGCCAGCATCATAGGACTTCAAATTCTTCCTCTATAAAGTGGGGCTGCTGGTCTAGATTAGCTTCAGGATCTAGTGGTCTTCCAGATATATGAGCTAAAGCAGCATTGTCCAGTAGAAATACAATAAAAGCCACAAAATGATTTAAAATGTTTCAGTAGTCATATTAAAAAGTAAAAAATACTGAAATTAATTTTCATAACATAGTTTATTAACCAACTATGTCCAAATATTATTATTTGTAACATGTAACCAATATAAAAATATTAATGAGGTTTTTCATCTTTAGTCTTTGAAATCTGGTGTGCATTTCAGACTTGGAACATATCTCAACTGTTGCTAAATTTCTATCAGAAATATTTGATCTATTACTTAAATTTGTTAAGACTTACTGCTCCAAAAATACATTCACATACCCAAGTATGCTCCCAACATATTTAAAAGTTTTCCAATAACTATATTGAGGATCAGTTTTTAAATTTCAATTATTTCAAGTTAAATAAAATTAAAGGCTTGGTTCTTTAGTTGTATTAAACATATTTCAAATGTGAAAACCTAACTTTCATATGGGACTACACAACTCTTATAATATGCTCTCTTTTAAATTAACTGGAAAATAGATTTATTAAGCAAGATTTTGTGTTAGGACTTTCTCCTTAAATTATTTTCTTTTGTAATAGGTGGTAGAAACTCATCACAAACAAGTATCCCAATGGTTTAATGTATTTTTTAATTTAACATATACTAAGTAATCTGCCTGGTTTCTTTCATATCACAGCCCAAGCCCCAGCAAAAAAAGTAGAAATGATGATGTTCTAAGATGCTTACAGGTTGCTGCACAGATGAGATGACGTCAACTCCCAAGGAAAGGGCCAGCTGATATAGGTGCTCTACATGTTTCTGCATTTCCTGAGAGCGACTGAGGTGCATCTGGGCCCCCTGAGCATCCCCCAGTCCATTCAGCTGTTCTAGAAACTCCAGTTCTCTTGAGTTGATGAGACGACTCAGCTGGAATTTAGGGTATTAACAATTGACTTGGGTTTCATATAAAGACATTTTTTAAAGCCTATTTTCTATAACATATTTTATTAGCTTGTTTAAATGCTGCAAAGCCCATCCATAATTATTAGTTTTATGGCCAAATATATGTTTCAGAGCTTCAAATCCAACAGGGTGACATTGATTTGCTAACATTTTCAGTTCTGTGAAGAAAGAACAACCTTTTTGGGTCATACCCAATGACCTTAACAAAATCTCAGTCTGTGATCTGAGTAAACTCAGAGGCTTTTTTTTTTTTTTTATTCATATGTGCATACAAGGCTTGGGTCATTTCTCCCCCTGCCCCCACCCCCTCCCTTACCACCCACTCCACCCCCTCCCTCTCCCCCCCACCCCCTCAATACCCAGCAGAAACTATTTTGCCCTTATTTCAGAGGCTTTTTTTTAAAGAATAGCAATACGCTTCCAGTTTATGTTAGTAAGTCAAATAACTGAAGTTTTTGTCAAAAAAAAACCTCGAATAATATTTACTGAGCCCTCCATGATGTCAAGTATTTAAGACACCAAAAAAAAAAAAAAAATTGACCTTGCTTTCTGCCCTCTAAAAGCTTACACTTGAGTTGGGAAAAAAGCAACTTTACTAAAAAGTAATTATGAATCAAGATGCTAAAAATTTCAGATGTGTGGAATAAATAATAATGAGAATTCTAGGTATTTAGAAGAAAGAGAATAACTCTCAGTGAGATAGGATTGCTGGAGAGAAGTACACTACTTATATAGCAGAGAGAAGAGAGAAGATCTACCAGGTAATGGCAGCCTGAGAGGCACAGCTTGGAGTCAAGTATATGGTTGCCATTTTTTAGGAACAAAGAAGAGCTCAGTTTGGCTGTAACATTAAAGCAGAGCAGGGGCATACTGAGAGATAATTTAAGAGCCAGAATGGGTAAGCTTCTAATACTATAACAAGAAATTTGGCTTTGATTTATTACACAATGATTAATTTTTAATTTCATACTGTAAAATCCAGGATCTTTCAGACATTCATGATAAGTCTTACCTGTTTCTTGATTTGGTAAAACTGGACTGTTTTGTGCAGGATCTCTTCATAATCTTGGATTCTCTCAGTCTGTTTCTGATGGAGATAAACAAGGTCCCTCAGTTGCTGAGACTTCTCTTTCACAGGGGCACCCTTGCCACTTAATTCTTCTGATTCCTTAATGATGTGCTGAACCTCATCATGTAGTTGCTAAAAAATTGAAAACAATACAAGAAATTCAGTTTCCAGAGAATTTTTACTTTACAAGTGACAATCTGAAGATCTAAATAACAAATCCCTCTCTCATTTATTAATAGATACTTATTATGACCCTGCCCCAAATCCAGCCATTGTGTTTGATAGTAGGGATACATTATTCAATCCTTATCTTTTCATAAATTTGTGAGTAACACCACAAAAGAGTGTTTCAAAGCTAAAGAGTGAAATGGAAATCATATCTTTCTATGGCATACCAAATAGGCTGGTTATCTGTTAAGTAAATGTACTTTATCTCTTTTATGAAGCCCTATGATCATTTCTGATATTTAATACAAATTAGAATCAGGCAGTATGGTAAGAAGACCAAGACAAATATAAAAATACATCATGGGAATTACGTGTGCTCTGTGATAAAGAGTGATCAGAATGCATCAGCAGCTGAACAGCACAGTAGATACGCTGCTTCAAAGCAGCCATCCCATAACTCACAAATAGCTACCACATGTAAGGAGGGATAAACTGCCTTCCCTTTTAGCTAGCACTTCTACGTATTCCTGATGGAAATTTAGATTCTGGAGTAGACATGGCAAAGGATGTACAACTTAAAATGGATGCTACTGTAATTTCAGGGATCTGAAATCTTCAATCAAAGGTGAAAGTACAGGAAATGCTGTAGGCTAAGGAGACAATTTTCAGAAGACTGACTTACATGCAGTCTTCAAGTTCAAATCAAGCATGTTGGCATCACTATGTATATTATAGTTACAGAGCTAATAAGGATGGCAATGGTTCCTAATTAGAAGAACTTACATACATATAAACATGTACACCCAAATATGCATACAACACAGGGTCTATCACAGAACCAATGCAGGCTGGGTCACACTGTCTGAGAGTTTTGATGAAAGAGTTTTCTGTGGGTTATAATGATGTACCTGTATAGTCAGGGTGGTGGTTATATTTTACATAAGTTTTGTGTTAAAGGAACCTAGGGTTTGATTACTTCCTAAAGGAATCTTCAATTCTCTGATTTGGGGATTCTTTAAAGCCAAGACATATAAAGAAGTGACAGATAGAAATACAGCTGCCTTAATTTTGCAGCAAAACCTAAACAGGCAGGATGATAATGTGATGGCCACCAGATCTTAATGCAAGGTTAGGAGTGGCAGGGGTGAGGAGTATGTTAAGCCATTAGGAATCAGGACATGACTCATGGCTGTATCTCTCATATCCTGAGGGCTTTCTGAGAGCTGAGAGGTGAATGAAGAGCACAGCAAACTCCCTGGGATGGTGGTAGGAACCCAGTACCAGTGGATGGGACAGTGACATCAGAGTGGTGGTATTAGGGACAAGGGGAAATAGAACCTGTAGATCATATTTTGCCCATCCTTTTCTTAGAAGTCTCAATTTAAAACATTCCTTAAGAAAATTAAGGGAATATATGTATATATTCATAATTTAGCTAATAATATAAATTAAATTAATCTAAGATAAAAATATGTGTAGGGCATTTGGTGGTCCAAATGCTTGTGTATTACTAAATACAGAAGCATGCAGGAAGAAAGTAAGAAAATGTATCTTTGTAGTGAGTTTTTAGACAAGCAATGATTTTGATAAAAAACAGAAATTCACAAGACTGTAACAATTAATTAGGTAAACTGCATCTGAATGATTTAAAATTGTTTTTCCATTCATCCAACTCCATCAATCTATTTGTTCACCTGGAATTGAGGCTTCATTTCATTCCACTTTTTCTGCAGATCTGAAATAGTATGGAGGCTCCCTCCAAGGTCAAGTGCAGACACTGGCATAAGTACTTCCTGAAGAAGCTTTAAGTTGTGAGTCGTCTGAAATAAATACTGGATAATTATGGGTGTGTTTTCTTTGACACCTCCAGCAAATACGTGCCATTAAGTTTTTCAACCCCTGAAAACATTCACAACCTCCAGTTGTTAGATCTCATGATCTAAACCATAAAAGGCTCTTGATTTCCCTCACTTTTTTCTTTTATCATGGTAATATGTAACAAAATTGGCCTTTTAGTAACACATGATTTAGTGGCATCAATAAATTTACATTGTTGTGCAATCATCATCACCATCCATCCAAACAAGAGCTCTAGATCCATTAAACAACTTCCCATTCCTCCTTCCCTCCCTGGAGCCCTGAAAACATCTATTCTGCTTTCTGAATCTATGAATTTAGCTGTAGGCACCTCAAATAAGTGGAATTGCACAATATTTATCCTTTCGTACCTGGCTTATTTCACTTACTGTATTGGTTTCAAAGATCCATCATGATGCAATATGTATCAGAAATTCATTAAGGCTGAACAATACTTCACAATCTCTTTTTAAAACAATTTTCCACTTTTTGCAGTGCTGGGGATAAACCTGGGTCCTCACAGATGCTAGGTAAGCACCTTACCACTGAGCTACACCCCAAGCCCATTCCCTTACCTTCTTAAGTTTCTCTTTGAATGCTCCCCACTGCTGTTTCACAGGCTTGCTTGCAATAGATTTAAGGTGCCATGCCATCCGGAGGCTGCTAAGTTCTTCCCTTTCAGTCTTTTGATTTTCCATAGTTTTTTCCATAATGTACATTTCATTTTTCACATTTAATATCTCACTCTCTTTTGCCTGTTAAATCAATAATCCATACAATGGCTTTTCTTTACCAAGAGATACAACTTTGTTTGCATGCAACTATTTTAGGTGGTACACACTTTATCCCAGCCAGAGCAGAGTACAGTTCTGAGATCTAAACAGTCTGAGTTCCTGTACAGAGGAACAGTTAGGCACTCAGACCCAAATTCTTTGCTTGAACATCAGGTCTTGAATTTTTTAAGATCCAGGTGGTTTTTGGAGGATAGAGTAATAAAATAATATATTCTGTAATTGTGATTAACAAGATTCAATAAATTATGAAAGATATTGCGCAATTATAGTGGGAACAATCCTAAATTCTATCTTTATATATGCTATAAATAAAGTTAGGGCATCTTTTGCATATTAAGAAACTATTGAAAATGTAATATATTCTGTAATTTAATATAAACTGGAAAGTGCAGCATGTCACTGACCACTACAATGATAACGGTGAAGAACGATGGTGTGACAAGGTTTAGAAAAGGCAAAATATGGAAAGATTTGCTGATATCTAGCTAGTGGGATCTAAGAAAATTGAGTTTGTATTTGGCAGAGTTAGTATTTGTTCATTCTGGAGGTTTAAATAATTTGCTTGTAGTCTAGTTAGTATTATTTTGCTCCTATGTAGGGCATGGAAAACTCTGTGGTAATCCAGTCTAAATAAGTCACTAAATAATCCATTTTCCATTTATATACCTCTACAATGAATGCTCTTCTGACATCTTGCTTTCCAGATACCTTGGTAACAGGGAGGCTTGTCTTGGAGAGCATTGCTGGCATTCATCAATATAAGTTAATAAAGCGGTGATTTCTTCTGCCAGAATTCTAAGCCTAAGTTAATTTACCTTATGCTCATGATTTTTATATCAACTAAAATTTTTTTTCTATTTCAAGATTGAAAATAGCAGCCAGAGCAACACAACCAAATAGAACACTCAACTGAATGTGCCAGTTAGCCTTTTCAAAATCAAACCGGTCTCTACATTTGAACACTAGAGTTGTTGAAAAACCTAATGAAGGTTTTACTTCATTTTACTTGCTCTACCAACAATTTCATATCTCATAATGTCACTAAATCAATACAGATACCTGGTTATGTGGACTTTTATATTTACGAATAAAGGAGACCTTATTTATCATATGACAATGGGGAAGACTTTAAAGGAGCATGTTCATGCTATCAAGATATAAGACTACCAAGACAGAGTATTAAAACACACAGTATTTCTAAGAACTCTAAATGGGAATGGGAATTCACAACAGCCAAGCTTATTTAGATACAGATGCAAGATATGATTGCAGCTATAGATCTTTAAAAATAAAGATCTGACTATACAGTGCTTAAGCATTCTAAACAAGGAATAAAGGACATCCAATTCTGGTGGATGGAGTGGTGGATGGTAGATTTGGGCTTCTGCTTAGAATGATAGAAAAGCTGGATGTAGAAAGCACCTATCTGAAGGAAATACACATAACTCAGAACTTTGAGGACTCTGTAACAATAACAATGTTGTATTTGAATTAGAATCCCTCTTTTCTTAATGGCTAAAATGGTCTTCTTGTTATAGATTAACAAGGACATTAAAAATCAGAAAGCATATAGATACTGGACTTTAGCACTGGTCTAGGCTGAATGAAGCTAAATAGAACTTCCTGAAGTCAGCACTAGTGATTAATAGACAGTTGAACTTTTGAATTTATGATTTTGACTTTGATGACTAATCCTTACAGAAGGTGGGACTCATTTTATGTTATTCTCACCATATTTATTAAATTAAGGAACTCAAGCCCTAGGTCCTCGGTTAAAAAACTCTTCTTTAAAAATAGCTGCCATTGCTTCTCAACTGACTCAGACCAACACGTGGCTTTAGCATCATCTTCTTCCTTCCGAGGGATTTCAGTTTGATAAAATTCCTTTAGGCTCTGAAACTGTGCCTCTACCTAAAATAACAGAAGATAAATGTGTTAAGAACACTTAACAAATTTTTCAAAATAAAAAGAACACTAGATTTCAGTAAGAACTTATATAAAAGTTAAATTGAAACTACATTTTCAGAATTCTCTAAATAATTATTAAATATTGTCAATTTACTGAAAAGTCACAAGAATCTAGATTGTTGCCAGACAGGACTACTATTTGGTAGTAAATTGAGTTGACAAGTTTATTACCCATAAGATCTATTTATTGTACCTCAAAGTATATTTTGTATTCAATATTTATATATATTTTTCAATTTGGGATGATTTGTGTCAAAGACCAGGTGGTTCTGTTTAGAGCTGGGTTTTATAGTTTAAAAGAAAAACACATATGGAATCAGGGAATACAAATCAGAAAGAAATTAAACCCAATGAAAGGTTATTAGTAATTAGTATATCATAATTTACAAGGGCACAGATAATTACTAATTTTCTTTGTAAGCATTAGTATTAAACGACCTTCATGAGCTAATCTTATTAGGATATGTTTTTTGCCTCTGCAGAATTGTATTTTCTCATTTGCTAACCAATGTAAGCAGTATGAGGTTATTTCAAATTACTCTCCTTGAGCAGAGTTTGCATAAAAGCAAATGTACAGCTATAGATTAACAAGTAATTGGGTGATGTAGAAATAGTAGAAATCATATGACACAAATTTTTGTGCATTTTGAATAATACATAATGGCTAATAAGACAAGACTGAGGGAAGTCATATCTAACAAAAGTTATCAAAACAGAGAAAGAAATTTCAAGCAATAGTCACTACATTTTAAGGATTTTAACATCATTCTTAATTTAAATGAATTTAATAGGAGTGTCTCAAAGACCTTTCAGAAACAGAGGTTCTCTCCTAATTTCCATATTCCACTTATTCATGTCTCTACATTTTGCTAATGCTGTTCCCTCAGCTCAAAGGATCATTCCTCAATGCTCTTCATGAACTAGTATAGATGATACCTTCTCCATGGAGCCTTCTAAGATTTCCCAGTAAGAATTAATAATTTATTTCCCTTTACCTGGTGATAGTTCTGGGAGAAAGAGACCTAACTTCTTGGAGCCTTAGTTTCCCTCACTTGCAAAATGGGGATAATAGAAAAGAACTAAAACAGAGACATAAAGATTAAACAAAATTAGCAACAAAAAACATGGGGTCTGATATGCTGCTTGAAAGATGGATTGGAAGACACTGAGTCCAAGACTGACTGAAAATGTCCTCCAGGGTGCTTTTTGGGGAGATGGGGATATATAAAAACTGGAGTGCTATTATGGCTACATAACTCTATAAATACTAAAAATTGTTGCACTATAAGATGGTGAATTTTACACTATGTAAACTATGCCTCAAATATGAGCAAATATGCTGTTTTAAACTAAAGGAGGAGAGAGTGGATAGTTAGGTTAAATGAATTTAAGCAGATGAAGACTAAAAGTGCTCCATTTCATTTGTCCACCAGAAGGAGCTTATAAGAACATCTTCAATGCACTGAAGAGGTAGAAAATGGCAAGGCTGAAAAGGAAGTAAACTGAATCATAATGAGATAAGGATTGGGGAGATGAGCCAGGAATGTCCTCTTCCCATTCCAGGAATTTATATGCAAAGGGAAGGAAAATGATGGTAAGGTAACCTTGGTAAGGATGATAATATTTAGATCAAGTGGGAAGGAAGCAATGGAAAAGCAAATTTGAAAAACAAGAGGATAGTTGCTGGAGGTAGTTTTCAAAGGATGCAGGAGTATAGAGGGAGGAAGTGATTTCTGATCAGGGCTGGACAAGGACAGGGACGTTACTGGAGCCAGGGGAGGATGGATAAATATGTCAGTAAGTTTGGAAATACAAAAAAAAACCAGTGAGGCTCAATGGCTGCATTTTTTAGGAGGTATGTGGTAAGAATGTCGACTCAGATTTAGGGATGGAAACTGGGGTAAGATGTTTGAGAATCACTACCAAATGGGGGAAAACTAGGGAGCATCTGGGGGACCCAGCTGAGCCACAGACCCATAAATTACATGTGTAACATCACCAATCAACACAATTGTATGATTTTGTAGGAGTGTCTGGAAGCTTGGAAAGAGAAGCTGTGTAAATAAGAGTGCTGGACTGATCAAGTGCTGGAAGTTGGCAGGGTTAGTCTTCGTGCAGGACAGGGAGTGGAGGAGATGGAGAGTAGAATGGGAGTAAGTAGCCATGAGCTAGTGAGGCAGAAGGGAAGGCCAGAGGCATAGAGGCACAGCACAGTCAGGATTAGAAGGATGGAAGACTCTGCCAGGTAGTAAAACAGATTTAGGGAAAGCAGGTACACTGAATGACATGAGGTGGCTCTGAGAAAGTGCTGTTTGAAAAGCTCTAGCCCTAGAGAGGCAACTGGTCCCTTAGGCTAGAGAGGGCCAGGGAAGTGAACGTTTTACACAACACCAAGTAGGAATAGTTTGGGCATCAAAGATGCAAAAAGCAAGCATTTTTTTTGTAGCTTTTTTATTGTTTCATGTCCTGAATAAAAATGTTCAACAGGATAATCCCATCAGTTACAACACCTCTGGGAGCTGTTCAGGGCCAAGAACTAAAAGGAAGTCAGAAATGACAAATGGTTGAGAAAAAATACGGAAAAGGCCACAAAGGTTACCCGGGATTCCAGGGACCAGGCATGGTTTTCCTCCAGAGTTGTAAGACCTCAGATCAGACAGAGGAGATATGTGTAGGCAAGGTGGTTGGGTAGGAGGTGAGGGCAAGGGAGATGGGAGCATGGAGGTGAGAACATTGAAACTGAGCATAGCTCCTAACTTCAAACAGCTGGCTTTACCTCTTAGTGGAGCTTGCTGGTTCTAGCTCCCACCAAACCAGCACCTATCTCCCTGAACAGGAAAGTGTTCTGAATTCACGAGGTTCATGGTTAAATGAGGCGGCATCTCAGCCTCTTTATTACTGACACCATCTTCAAGAAACTGACTTTGACAAGTGGAATCCTAGTATGCTAGAGGGACTATTACAGATTATATACTATCACCCTTTAAAATAAAGCCTCGGAAGAGTTCAGAAAGGTAACTTGTTAAAAGGCATTGAACGAGACCGGTGAGAGACTAACCAATAGCTTGTATTTTCCAATTCAGTGTGTTTTAAATGAACCACATTAATTGCTTAGTATTCAAAGAGATCCATGGCTTTAAAGATGACTATTTTCAGGTAATTTTCTTTGGTGTTGAGGCTATTGAAAGTAGTTGTAAGACATGTTGGAAGACTTAATTTGTACATGCATCTATACATTCACATTTGTATTTTTTTTTTGAGGTTTTATATGGTACCTTGAAGGAAGAAAGGCCTGTGAGTGCATGCCCTAGACAGAGAATATGGAACTCTCTACCTGGGCAGAGCTCATATCCCCAGAGAAAGCAGGAAGGTGGGCAAAGGCCACCATGTGGAAGTGGGTGAGCCCATCATACTGTACCTCCTCTGATGACTTTAGAAATGCCACATAAGTTTGCAGGACTTGTGACCTGGAGCCAATACCTTGGCCAAGTATACTTAATTCCTCTTCTAGCCATTTAGCTTTAAAAGAAAGTGATGCCACTTCATCAGGTTCAAATTCGTTTTTCTCTGTCATGATTTTTGCAGCTGCTTCTAAGGCTTGTGCTGTCTCCTATGAAACCAAAGCACAAGAGGTCAGAAGCTGACAGGAGAATAATGAACACTCACATTTCATTACTCTTCTGCACATCCATCTGCTACAATTATTAACTGAACTTGTACTGAGAATTTTCTTAATAAACTAAAGTCACAATTTTCAAATTCCAAAAAGAAAAAAATGACACTTAAAAATGAAAACCATCGCAAATCCTTCCCTGATTATCAGCTGTACTTTTTCTGTAACAAATAGAAGAAAGCTTACCTGGTACAAAAGGTTCTAAAGCAAAAAATGCCAGGAATGTTTCAAATAATTATACATGAGTATTGTTTTATGAAACTTAGCAGTAGCTCTAGCAAATTCTTAAACTACTTTTTTTTATATGACAGGGCAAATTCACAAAACATATTTGCTTGCTTTTAATTTAATTAAAAACCATACATTTTAATTATAAAATATACAGTCTTTAAAATTATACAGCCTTATTTAAATATCTATTGAGAAGGGGTTTAAACATGAATATGGGAAGTGTTATGCCTCAAGCTTAACCAACCTAAGAGTAAGTGAATTTGACTTGCTTATGAATGTTCCCCTGTGTTGTCTTCTGCCCACAATTTCTGGTGTGGGGACTCTGGTCACTTATTGAATGGACAACTAGGAATTGTAGGCATTGTATATAAAATATTCGTTCCCCATCTAACACTTCAGTCAATGATAGGTTGCATATATAGGGATGGTGATCCTTTAAGATTCTAATAGAGCTGAAAAATTCCGATAACCTAGTGATATAGTGATATAGTAGCCTACATAGGTCATACTGTCACAGGTGGCAGGCTGGGTTCTTTTTTTCCTCCCTCTATATAAACAAAAATGATGGTTATGCAAGGGGCTGCTCTCTTAGTATTGATGACCTTGAGTTACAAAGGCTTGCAAGCTGGGCTTCCAGCCTTGTGAACTAGAGGCTTATGACTCTAAGCTTTCAAAACCTATTGCTCTAGGTGCTCAAGGCAGAGGCCTGTTGCTTTGGGCTTAGTGTGCCAACATCCAGTGGCCAGAGTTGTATCCCAAGCTTTGGGTGTCAGACCCATGGCTCCCTAACCTTGTGTTCTAGCAGCCAGGACTTACAGTCCTTATATTCTCAGTTTCTGCCTTTGTCAATACTTCCATCTTCCTTAACAGTCTTAGCTTTATGCAGATTCTGCCCTTGATTGCTCTCTGGAACCCTTTAGCTGCCTCCTAGAGTCACTGTTCAGAGCTTCAGCTATCAGGGCCCCTAAGGTCTCAGTGGCTCTCTGGAAATCTTAGCTGCTTCTTGGTGTTTCAGCTCTGAGTTTTGGGTATCAGGGCTCTCAGCTCTTGGGTGACTTTCTGGAACTCTTCCATTCACTTGCTTCCTTGCTGCTACTTCTGGGGCTGGAAGCTCAGGGGAGGTCTTGTCTGCCCTTTGTGCAACCAGCCTAGCCTGCTCTACCTGTGATAAAGACCACAAGTAAGCATTTGGGAGCATCCTTGATTAAGGCTTAGTGTTGCAGTACAAGGGGTAGTACGCAGGCGAGAAGCCTCCCAGACTAACCTGAAAAGAGTGGTAAACAAATGGCTTACATAGTCAGAAGAGAAGTGCAGCATACTTGCACTCTGATTGCAATTCCATCAATTACAGCCTTGCATGGATATATGACGTCCAATTCCACCAATCACAAGCCTTCCATAAGGACCAATCACCAGCCTTACTGAGGACCAACCTCACATAAGTGTAGCCTTCTGTCTGTCAGTCACAGCTTTTTCCTGAGTCACTGGGGGAGGAGTTCTTCCTGCTGCCTGACCACTGCTATTACAAGGTATGGAGCAGCTGAGGGCAGGGTCATCAGGAGATCATGGCAGAAGTGTTTTCTGGCACTGGTGTGCACTGGAGCAGTAGTGATTTCAACAAGGCCTCCTGAAGCAGAACTGTGTAGCTTCAGCTTCAGCCATGGTTGGAGTGTATTTCCTTCTAGGTGTCTGTGAAGTGTTCAGCGCAGCTAGGATGCCATGATGATAGTGCAGCCAGCTACCAAAAGAGGGGCTGCTCAGCTGACGCTCCCTGTTCTAGGCAGCGGGGCACTAGGAAGTCCTCTGAAAGCTAGCAATCAAATGGTCATATTGGCCCAGCCCCAAACAACTTAGCTTATTTCAGGGAAAAGCAAACATTAATGGGTGGTTACAGTAAAAACCTAACACTAATGTTATCATTCGTAACAGTATTTGACAGTGCTTAAATCCAAGCCAAATATTGTTAAGGGAGAGTTGGTTCCTTCTGTCTCAACAGTGCAACGCATTACCGATGTGTTTGTTTTGATGCCGGTGTAAATGAACTTGCTACGCTGTCAGTCATATGAAAGTACAGAACATATAATTGTGTAAAGAACATTATACTTGATAATGACTATGTTACTAGTTTATGCATTCACTTTATTATACCTTTTATTGTTGTTTTAGAGTGTCTCTTTCTATGCATATGAGAGTTTACTGTATAACGGTACATCTGCTTACAGCAACCTCACACATCTCATGTTTATGTCTACCAATGGACCTAGTCCATCTAGGTTTGTCATACAATGATGACAAAATCATATAAAGCACATTTCTCAGAATGTATTCCTATCAGTAGGCAACACATGACTGTATCATTGCCATAGAAAGAACCAGGCAAAATTTCATGTGAGAACAAGCAGAAAGGAAAGAAAAAAGCTTCGCTCTTATTTGCAGCAAGGAGGGATTGCTTCCTACTTGTGTTTAATATGCTTCCCAAGTACTCCACAGCATAAAAGTAGTTTTAATTTACCACCCTGCTTCATTGTAGCACTCTGGGAAAAAGAGGAGCATGTGATTTCTTATCATGCACTCTCCTCACTACTGCTAAAAATTTTAAATTAAAAAAATCCTTTCAGGCATGTCTTATTTTAAGTATTTTACATAGAGAATAAAAAGTGTTCCACTTAAAACATTAAATTAAATTAATTAAATACTTGGACACATGGTGTGTTCAAGTGTGGGAGAGGGGGTGCTGTCTGTGAAGCAGGCTTTTCCACTGAAAAGTGGAGGAACAGGGAATTTCCTGTTGTCCTGGGCTAGCTGGGGGAGGGCACTTGACTCACCTTCCCAAACCCTGATGAGTCAGGCAGTGACTTAGTGCAGGTTTAAAATCCTGCAGGAATCCTTGAACCCAAGCCCCATGGGAAAGGGGTAGGAGGGAGATGGAGGTGCCTATTGTGTGTGGGCGGGGAGCATTTAATATCTCTGAACATCCAGTGTTTGAACAAGGTTGTGCTTTTGTTTTCTTTCTGGAAGCCTGCAATAATGGATGTTGCTTCTAGTAGTTTTCTTTTGTGATTTGTTCTTGTAGAAAATCACAAATAATCTTAGAGAAGTGTTCTCCCTGGCCCCTCTGATACCCCCCAAAAGCAGTTGTTAATACCTCCCAGGCAAACAAAAGTTTCCAAATGACTGTTTAATACCAGGCTGAAATGCTAAGGGTCAGTGAGCTTGAATGCCTTAACAAAAACACATATAAATAGTTTAGACAAACATAATAGGATGAGTTTTTAAGTCATTTTTGCTACATACTAATTTAGAGTTGCAACCCTCAAGGGAGCTAGAATTAAGTTTTGTAGCTATGAACTATCTTTAAAATCATACTTACAAAGTCATAGCCATAATAGGAAGTCCTATTGTATTTACCTTAGCTTGTATGTCTAGTTCCAGATATTTATTCAAAATCTTCTCTGATTCAGAAAGACTGGAACCAACATTCATTGTGTTGGAAAGCACTAGACTGATTTTCTGAATTGATATTTCCACCTTTAGGAACAAAAAATATATATTATAAACAAGTAGAAAGGTGACTATTTGGGGAGAAGAAGAGGATCAGAGGGGAGGACCAAAAAGAAAAGGGATGGGGGTGAATCCAATCAAAGTACATTGTATACATGTATGAAAATGACATAATGAAATCTATTTTTGTATGATTATTATACACTAATAGAAATAAGTAATGTAAAAAGAATGCATTACAGTCTCATACAAGTATACTTGTAAATATGTAAGGAAAATAAATGTTGCTTTATTTATTCCCATTATGCTTTAAAATGTATCAATTTTTATTAAATAATTTTAAATATCCTAGAATTTCATATTTTAATACTGTTCCTCTTCATATGAGGTAATACTAGTAACCCACCAACAGAGGGTATATGCTTAAAGATATTTCTTTTATTAAGAACAATGACATATAAATAATCATCCACGTTTTCTAAGAACTATTGCCTACAATGGATAATAATACACTTGCTAACACGTCAGGAGAGATAAATTTATTTGTTAGTTGAATGAGACCAATTTGTATGTACATTTTGAAGTAAAGATCCAGAGCATAGGTATTTGTTTGCCCTATAGGTTGCTATATTTAGGGCTGAGGGGTTCAGGTTAGCACCAACCCCTGTCCACAGTCAAGCACAGGGACCTACCTAAGTCATTTAATTGATGACATTGAGGAATGGTGATTTGATCATCAGTAATGTGAGCCAATGGATAAAGTGACTCTTCAAGTGTTCTATTCCATTCAGGTTCCTTCCTTCATCCCCTTGCTCTATCTAGAGGTCATACTGCCCAGAGTCAAATTGTCTATGAGTTGGCAGAAAGATGAGTAGCAACAACCATTTGAGTTCCTGCTGTATTTTCCATCACTACCAAATTAGCTGGAGTCTCCAGCTGTAGGAATGTGGCATCACTGCTGCTGCTCCCATATTTGGAATCTCCCTGGGCCCAGGCTTCAGGACAAAGCTGAAATTCCCAACTTTCTGATCAATAACAGATGAGGAGGCAATTTAATAAAGACATTATCACTTAATGTCCTTGCTTATGAAGACTACTAATTCTACTCATGAAAGTTCATTGTATCTAACATAAACATCACTGAAAATTTGAGACCCAGCCTCTGCAAGGCTTATTACTATTTGTATAAATAGTTTTTGTTATCTATACAACCTCTAAGTAAATAACTTTATTTAGTCAAAGTGTAGGTCATGGTCCTTATTCCCCTTTGAAAAATAGGCAATGAAATGTTTCCATGTCAAGCCATTACATCCACTCTGGAAAAATTTTCCAATGTATGCTATTATGCAGAATGACCATCTCTTGCACTGATCCGGTTCAATAAAGTGAAAATGACAATTTATTCCTGGAACCAAAAACCATAAGTTGGTACCATCTCTCTCTGTGTCTGAAGTCCTCAGGTTTTGTGTTGCCATGTCAATGAAAACTGGCGCATATTTGAACCGTGCCTAGAACCATGCAAATCAGGGACCTTATTCCAATGTGGACATAGTTCAGTTAACATAGAACTGTGGGTGGTAAGGACTATCTTTGTGTTTATATGTTCAGGCCTGAGGTGGCAGATTGCAGTAGGTATCTATTTTTGGCAACCTAGGGTAGGGACGGTTGATGAACAATCATGAATCACCATGTCCTGTCCAATAGAAGACCTGATGTGGAACGTAAGAGAAGTCTAAGGAGATGCATTTCTATCCTCCTACCGCACATATTGCAGCTGGCGTACCATCTATGATCACCAAATTAGCAGTTTGCATTTCATTTTATGAAGTTACCTTCCTCAGGTAACCCTCCACCGAGGCTGCTAATTGCTGTTTCTTAAGAGCAAATTCCTTGTGCGCTGAACATTGTTCAGTCAGATGATCCACACGTCTCTGAATGCATCCCATCATCTTATGGATGCCGGTCACTCGAGAGCTGAATGGAACAAGCCAGCTGTTAGTTTACTTGACCTTGACATTGAAGCCCCAGGAACGAGGACATTTGAAAACAGATCCACTCTTTCATGAGAGGTATGAGTTAGTAAAAGTTACTAGTTTTAAGATGATGAAAGTTAAGCATGGTACAGCAGATGCATAGCCAAATTGTGTTCCTTTGTTTTAGGTCAGTCAGTCCTGAGGGAAAAGATGAGTTATGACTTTTTGCAAGTCTAATCCTCTTTTCTAAAGGTTTACTTTTTAATATTTCCCTAAGATTCTTAAGAACCTTATGGCAAAAGGCACAGTATGTTTACCAAGAGTTTTCCTGAGGCTATTACTTAAAAGCTTCATTTATCTAGAGATACTCTTTGAATAGAAATGTGAATCAGCCAATTAACAAAGCATTTACTAACCCAGTAGAGTAAAACACTTATATAACACTAAGGTCCCTATTCTCAATGATCAGGAATGCTCAAGGCTGTGTTCATTAGATGAAAACCAAGTTATCACCAACAATTAGGTATCAAATATACTTGTTCATAAAAAGGAAACCAAGCCCCATATTATCACTTTTTAAACTTATACTGGCCTCATGAGACAAAGAAAAGTGACATGCTGGGCTCATAAAAAGACATGCCTTTAAAACAATGAATGAACTCTGAATTGAACCTCAGTTGCTTTCATCTAAAGACATCTTAAGAGATTTCCTAACTAGTTCCAAGGTAAGCGTGCTCACAATGAGAGGATACTGTTGGATGGAATGAGCACTTTTAAATTGCTCAAGCTATCCCTAAGACAGAACCTAGCCTACCAGTTAAGAAATTGAAGTCTTTAACCTCCCATCAGTCATTTCCTTCAAATACTAATAAAGATTAACATGACAGCTCCTAAATTTAATTACCCAGAGTTAAAAAAAAGATCTTGGAACAAGACACAGATTTCAGTAATTTTACCTCAAATAATTAATTTATGACTGTAAAAATGAATTTAATTAGTAATGAAATGAGGGTAAGATCCCAAATGACTGAGAAGGGAAGTAACCTCATTGGAATGACAATGAGGATGCTATAGAGGTAAGACACATTCAATGTGTCCTGTAGGTACCACAGGGTCCAAGAAAAGTGCAATTGAGGGACAATATGAAAACAATGAGAAATCTTACTCCTGGCACACAATGTTCTGTAGACATTACACTTAGAACATTAGTTTTGCATTTTAATACTCAGAGACAGGGAATCATGCCATCAGGAGATTTTTTGAGATAATTCTTAATGATACTTAAATCCACAGATTCTATAAAAGCTGTGCATTGGTAATACCTCTTGTATTTTGACTAGGGTTTAGACTGAGAGAGCATATGCTAAAAAGGCACTTTGAAGCTATGCTAACCTATACACTATGAGTTCTAAGTTTTTTGTAGATAGAATGTGGAAGTCTGGACTAAGAAAGATAAAATGAAGAGTGGCCCTATGGAAAGAAGGTACAGATGTCAAAGTTTGTGATAGGAAACTAGCAAATGTGAAGAAAAGAAAGATGGCTGGAAATACTAGAAAATGCCATTGCAATTTGGAAATGATTAGTAAAATTCAGAAAGATAAAGGAGAATTTGTAAAAGCACTGCATGCCCAGAAAGAATGTATCTGCATCCATTGCAATCAGGAAGTATTTCCAGCCAAACTTAGAACAGGGACCTCTGGGACTCCAAGAAAGTATATGAGAAATGCCTACAGATTTTTAATAGGTTGCCTCTTTGGAGAAAACAGTCCTCAGAAACCAGGTCCAGCCAAGATTCTTGCTTCCTGTTCATGTCAGTCTTTGGGTTTTTCCAAGAATATGGTTGCCAGGCATCATAAATTCCAGCCATGGTGTTCAGTTTCCAGAGCTCAGATCTACTTTCTGATTCTAGCATTCCCCACTCCTTCCCAAATTTCTCACGTGCATCTCTATTTTGTGTTAATTATTGTGCTCTAACTTAACACCCACACTGAATCCAGCCTCTTTCACCACTCAAATATCAATTGAACTTTCTATCCTCTAAAATAATGTCATTCACCTGGTGCCAGGGGAAATATGGATTACCACTTTTTAAACTTATACTGGCCTCATGAGAGGTTTACACTTCTTGTAGCTTTACATATAATCTTAATAATCTGTTAATAATCTGAAGAATTTAAATTCTTGCAACAATCATGTCTTTTTAAGTGCATTGTATGCATCATTTCATAGACTAAAAATAACTTCGTGAATCATAAAAAAGGTGTCAATAATGACAAATTTTAGCCAATGAAACTGAAGCTCCAGAGATGAGATAACTTGCCTTAGAGACACAAAACTAGTAGGTAGGAAAGATCTGATTTTAAGTCAAGTCTCTTTAATATCCAACTATATATAAATATATTTTATAATTTTTAGAGTAATGATAGATTTAAAATCTTAATTGCAGAAAATCTAAGGAAATACAAAAAAAAATTTAGTTTTTACCATAGACATCATAACTACAACTAACAAAAATAATTATTGAGTTCTTACTGTGATAGGCACCATTCTTACTAAGCTGGGTGTTATCATTATATCTGCCTGGTCTCAGAGTTCACACTCTTTACCAATTTCTTCTACTTTTTCTGAGCCTGTGACATAGTTTGTGTGTGTGTGTGTGTGTGTGTGTGTGTGAGAGAGAGAGAGAGAGAGAGAGAGAGAGAATTTTTCCTCTAGAATTTAACTTTCTTTTGCTGAGTGTTGCTGGCTGTCATACAAATAGAGTTGGCCTGTCTTACATGCTCATTTCAAATTAGTAAACTTCTCTAGGTAATACAATGATTGCCTGTAGTTTGCAAAGTGGCCACTAGAGGGGCATGATCCCTTGTTCAAATTGCATGTCTTGAAGGTCTCTCCAGAAACTAAAATCAGAAATAAGGGAAAAAACCAGATCAAGCATTTCTTCAGTAAAAATATTGCTTTTCAGCAACCTACAATTTTAATTTAAGTGAACCACAACCAACCAAACAGGATCTCTTTTTTCTGCTTTTGCTTTTTCAATTTCCCAGGAGATTCTGTCTCATTTTGTGGTGACTTGTTCCTTATCATGAACTATATCTATTGCATTATAAATTCTGTAAGTGGAAGGGATAGTGGCCTACTCATTCTTATATCCCTTGCAGCCCTGAATATATAACCTTGCAATTAGCAGAAGATTAATGCAAATTTTAAGTTAAATAAAATACTGTCAGATCAATATACAAGGAAAAAGAAGATATAGATTTAGGAATTAAGGAAAATAAAAACATCTACACAGTTATCATATTAAAAATGTCACTTGTGACAAAGTCCAACAGTTTTTGAACAATGATGATGTTGCACGTCTTGCCACTTACAGATATTTTGGCTATCTGAAAACTGCCCAATTTCTTCTTTGGTAGGCATTTAGCATTTAGAGTTAGATTCAAGCAAATTTAGCTCTTCTATTTATGGCTTATTCTCCTTTCTTGGTACAGGAAGTTCCTAATCATCCTGCTTTCCCAAGCTAGCTCTTACTTCCCTCTTGTCCTCCTGTAGGTCATCTCCATCTGATTGGGCACTAATGACTTTCTTTTTTCCAATTATCAATTGAAATATAATATATCCATCACATTCCCAGTCCTGGGGCTACTTTGACCCTTATCGAGTCTTCTTAGTGAAACCTGGATCAGCAGATGACACCCAACCCAGATTCCATCATTTTTGGTTTGAAACGATTCTGGACTCTGACTTTGAATACTCTAAAACATGTTTATGTTTATGTATATAAAACATATGTATGTATATATATATATATATATATATATATCTATATATCACATATAGGCAATTCCTGAACTCCTGAACAGCAAGTGATTTGAACAAAGGAAAGATATTACTCCCCAATTTGCCAGCAATTCTTCCATGAATTGAAAATAAACAGGATTCCATCACTCACCAGGAACGATTGCCATTACTTCACAGTAATACTAAACTAATGGTGGGACAAGGACTGATAGTGGCTGACAGAAACTTTGGTTGAATCAAATTGTGGTGCCCTGTCATTTTATTCTAATTCTGAAGCAACACTGCTATGTGGAGCTGACTGGTTGGCAGAGGGGCTACAATTTGAGCCATAATGATCTGTGCCTCTCTGATTTGCATTGCAAGTATTGATTGACCTTTGGGCTTTCTCTGTAGGAATGGATTGGGTGGTGCTTGTCAGAAGTGAGCACAAGGTACATCCAATTTTTCCTGATGTTCACTTGAACTTTTCCAATATCACAGATACCCAGAAAGGACAAACTGGGAAAGCTTTTTCAGACATTTGTTACGAACCCCATAATGGGAACATTTTTTTCTTTATTCGTTGAGCCAACAGAGTGGAAGGAAGAGGAAAGAAAAATGATTGTTTCTTTCTGAAATAACAAAGACATATTGACTTCTGTTTTAAGAATAGACTGTTCTATTTACTGTGGGGAAGCAGTTGCCCTATCTTTGCATTTGTGGCAGATCAGAGCTGGGGGAGGGGAGCACATCCCAATGTTAATATGTTCTGATGATTCTTTCTGGAGAATGGCAAGTTGCTTTCAACCCTTTCATAAATTACTATTGGCAGCCCATCTGGATTAGGAGCTGAACCAGATGGTAAGCACTTGACAGCTTACTCTGTCTCATCTGACCGTATTTTTCTGTTTGTCTGTGGACAAATTATACTTGGAAGATGGAAAAAAAATCTTCTTTACCTTTAGCTTCTTGTTTCTTTTAACAGAAACTTGAACAGTGTCCTTTCATGTTCATGATGTCTTTATTTTAGAGGAAACACTGCTGCTGTCTAGTTTTATCCCTACTTTAAAAAACATGTCATTTGTACTACAGATGTTAAAATGTATATTTTTATAATTTTTTCTGATTTAAGTTGTATATTTTAATAACCTCTCCACACAGAAACACACACACACACACACACACACACACACAAATCCCTTTTATATATGTATATAT